AATGACAGCATCACATTACTCATCCTCTTGGCTCTGTCTCACTAGTGGTTTAGCACCTTTGTGGGCTTGGTTTTGATAGCAAGAGAGATGTGACTTTAAGTCAACAGGATATTAGGAGAAAAGAGTGAAAGAACTGCAAGACTGAACACAAATCTGCTTCTAGATGGGATTTGGGTTTAAATAAGTGCAGCATATTTTGAATGCCACCATGTACACAGCGTCGTGTTCTGGCTCTTTAGGACAGCGCTTGCTATGCCACAGCAGGACATGTATATTGTTGGGATATCAACAAACCAGAGCACTCCTGGCTTGCCTGGATCCCAGCCAGCAAAGGATGCTATAATAGCCTCTCTGGCTTACAATGCAATTTTGCTAAGGTTAGAACATTGCTTGCATTAGTGAAAAGCAGACAGTAGTCTTGAGATTAAGGCAGGAAATCTGCATTCAATTCTTGGCTCCGACAAAGACTTTCCTTATGTGGTCTTGGGCAAGCCAAGTAAAACTCCCATGCTTTGTAGCCTGAACTTGTATGAGAAGAATTAAATTGCTTTCTGCTCTTTGTCTTGAGTATTTAGTGAGCACTTGGGGAAGAGAGAGCCTTTTACTCACTGTTTAGCATCAGTTTGCAATATTCCCTCAACATAAATAACAAGAAAATAAATTAAAATACCTATTGTTATACAAGTTATACAGCCAAGCCCAGTGAAACTGGTACTCGGTGTAGTTAGGCACATTGCATCATTATCTCTCAGCACCATACATTGCTGCAATGCTGCAAGACTGGAGGTGGCAATGCCAGGACATTCTGTGGTGTTTATACAGTGGTTATCTGTATCCATGCTCAGCACATCTCACCTCCTGCCCTCCAGTCTGCCCAGAAAGACCAAGAGGAACTTGAGTCAGGTAAGGGAATCAGTTACAGCCCTGGAGAGCAGGGATGATGAGGTTTGCATTTGAGCTGGAGAACATCATGTACTACCTACCAGCTATGAACTGCCTGGCTCTGGCATCAGCTTTGCCCTGGGGAAGGAGAGGTGGTGTGAGACGGGAGGAGCTCAACTCTCCTTACCCTCAGGGATGCTGTATTTACTCTGAGTAGATTTATGCACGAGATGTGTTTTCACTAGCAGGATTTGTTTCTCTTCTGCATTTTTGCTCCTAGCACGTGGACTCTTTTTTGAGCAAGCAGTAGGCAGGCGGGGCTGAGAGATCAACACACACAAACCAGGGAGTTTATTTCCAAACAGGCACACACAGAACTGTAGGGGAGTACAAGAGGGAGAGGGCAGTATATCCTCTCACTCCACTCTATAAAACCTAACTTCCTAGGCTGACCCAGACACCTAATACTGAAGGCAAAAATAAAAGCTACATGACTAGCGGGAAGAGAAAGAGCCAGCAGGAAAAATCTATCAGAGCTTTCCATGGTTCAATCACTCAGAGCCTGCTTCACTGGGGAAACAATCAATTAACCACTTCCACTAGAGCAGCCACAAACATGCTATTCTGGAGGCAGTAAATCTTTGAGTTTATTTGTTCTCAGTTGCACTCTCAGCTTATTTACAACATCACAGGAATCTTCCGCCTTGTTTATCCTCACTTCTCTAGGTCTCTCCCAAGGATCTTTCTGTCCATGATGATTGGTGAAGAGGAACACTTATGGACTAACAGTTTCCAGCTTCACTGCAAATCCTTATTTCCCTTAAACAGGCAGCCAAAACAAACTGTTTCCTTCAGGCATCTGGAGGGCATTACGCCTTTAACTGTCCATCTGATTTCCAGCTGTCAATGTATTTTGTCTCACTTCAAGGCAGATGGTTTTGATTTAGGATGTTTTGGCCCAACCAGTAGTCAAAGAGCCCTGCAGTACACGAGCTAGACAGGTCCCTGTCCTGAGGAGCAAAATGTAGCAGGAAATGAGAGGCAGATGACACCAAAGCTAAGGGATGAGGCTGAGGGCACTCAGCCCAAGGCCCCCTGAAACAGAAAGGTTCAGGAAAGGACCTGAGCATGGGCAGTCCCACAGGTATGGTAAAGAGGGAGGTGTGAGACAGCTTGGATCAAAATGCACAACAGGAGGATTGAGAAGATGTGACCAAGTGGTGCTGAGAAGGTGTGCCTGCAGAGGGAGAGGAAGCTGGCAGATAAAGGTGCAGTGGGTCACGGTGATGGTCCCACTCAGCACCTCATAGGTAGATCTTGAAGTGCTCAGAGCAGAAGGGTCCCAGCACACTAGCAAAGAAAGTGAAGTACAGAAAAGACAGGGTAGAGATCAAATATCCCAACCACAGGCCTGTGTTGTCCATTAGGCACTGGTACCTCTGCCATCACTACGCTTTCAAGAGGTAGTGAAACAAGAGATGTCTGTGATTTTATGTTTAGATGATCACAGCATAAAATTGAGACTAAATTTCTATTCCCCGTTTAAATTTTTCCTTGCACGCTTTCAATGAACAGAAAGCAGCTCCCAGCACTTCTAGGTACCTCCTCTGCCTAGGAACCTGGAAGCAGATTTTGATTCACAGATGCCTCTTGCTCCTTGGATCAAATGTGCTGCCAGGACTGCTAGACAGGAGCTGTCTTAACAGCTTTAGTGCACTTGGATTTGTCCCTGTTGCTGCTAATGCCTTGATTGGTGCTATTGAAATCTTTTTTTAAACATATGGTAATACATTCCTCACTGATATCCCTGCCTTTCAAAACTCAGACCTGGAGTCATCATTGTCTGTAGTAAGTTCATTCTGTTCCTTCTGCTTTACTGCCTCCCCAGTCTGGCTCTGATGAGGAATTCATGTAACTCACTAACTCCAGAGCAAATTTTGATTAGTTTCTGAATTAAAAAATGTATTTTCTATTAGGAAGCCCTGCAAGCTCAGCCTGGCATCTGATATTCAGATTACCTCTGGATGCATCACCAATAATGAAGACTCTAGATGTCAGGGCTGGGAGTGCACTAATCAGCTTTAATTGCCCTGACAAGCCTCATCTGGGGCTCACATTCACTCCCTCTGCCAGGAGCTCTATTTAACCTCCAACCCCAGCAACCTTCAGTTCTGGCTTGGGTCATGTTGTAAGTGAGCCTGTCTCAGATCTGTTCCTGAACTGGCATTGGGTTTTTCCTGGTTGACCTTGGAGCTGCTGTGTTGATAGGACCTATTGCCACCACCCCCCTGGTCATGTCCTGTGGTGTAGGGCTGCTTCTGGCTCCCCTTCTGTGAGAGCAGCCCTGCTCTCACTGCTTCCTCACACTGGAAACCACAAACACTCTACAGCTCTGGAAGGATTTTCAGCAGACAGAGAACTCTTACTGGACTGTTTCTTTAAGTGTTTGAGAGAAGAGTACAGGTAATCTTATGGGCTCTAATTCTTATGCTGCTTGCTGTGAAATAAACCCAGCAGCAGTATTTTTAGGTATGAGGTCTCTAGCTCTACTAGAGCTCTAGTGGGGATGAGCTGAGTGCTGGGATTGACTGACTCTGGGATGCCCAGTCCAGTCATCTCCCAGTTGTTGCTGGGCTCCAGTGCTGCAGGAGGAAAGCACTTTTTCACTTCAGGCTGTTGCACTGCAGCACTCGGTGTGCAGTAGTTTAAGCTACAATTCTCCTTAGAGAGATGTTGGGCTCTAATCTGCATTCTTGGAATAGCACAAACAGACCTGTCACTTCATGCGTTCAATGGGATGGCATTTGGGAATCGTGATGGGTCAACAGACCAAGTTCATGACAAACGTGTTCCTTTGTGCTCTGAGAGGACAGCAGGCATGCTTGGGAGATCAAGCTGCTGTCAGAAAACATGCTCTGTTTGATCCCATCCCAGGATTTGTTGCACTGAATAAATGAGGATATGCTGGTTTCCTTTCCCAAAGTGGAAATGGGTGATACTGTGATGTCTATACTCAGCACCTGTGGACAGCTGGTGCTTTTGAGCCAGCAGTTCTCCATAAGGCTTGTCAGAAAAGACATACATGGAACTGGCTTTTGGAAAGGATCTAAAATTCGCTCTCTTCTTTCACAGAAAAACTTCCCACCAGCACCTACCTAACGGTGTGCTGCAGAACCGGTTTAAATGCTCAGCCAAGCCAGCAGCAGCCTTCCTATCAATCACCGAGGAAGAGCCCGTATGCTTCCACGGTCTGTAGTGTTCCGAGGGGTTGGTTGGTTTTGGCAGGTTTTTTGGTGCCTGAAGAGAGGTACTGGGGAAAGAAGACGCCTCTGCTGGTGGGCAGTGATAGCAACAGCCCCTGGGATGTGGATGGAGGAAAGGGGAAAAAGTTCAATGCACAGAATTAAATGCTATCGTGGCCTGGTTGGGAACAGCCTCTTCTGGGGACACAGAAGACCTCTGGATACCGGTGATGACTGAAACGTCCCTTCAGAGGTGAGAATCTCACTGTGAGGGTGCTGCGGCGCTGGCACAGGGTGCCCAGAGAAGCTGTGGCTGCCCCATCCCTGGCAGTGTTCGAGGCCAGGTTGGACACAGGGGCTTGGAGCACGGTGCTCTAGTGGAAGGGGTCCCTGCCCGTGGGACTGGACTATTTTAAGGTCCTTTCCGACCCAAACCATTCTATGCTCTCTCCATCCGTCTCAGCCTGCAGGCACCTAAGAAGCCTTTACCCTGCATCCACCTCAGCGGAGCAGCTGCCCTCAGGAAGCTGTCTGCGGGCTGGGGTGCTCCTGAAACGCATCGCTTATCTTCCCTCTTTTGGGAGAAACCTCCTAAAAGTCTCAACAAGAGTATTCCTGGGGTACACACAGGGCCAGGACGGTGTGTGTGAGGCAACGCCGGGCCCGTACAGCCCGGTGGAAAGCCCGTACTGCCCCCAACACCAGGCGCGAAGATGGCCGCGGGGCTGAGGAGCCCCTGCCCGTCCCTCCCTTGCGGGCGGTGATTGGCGGCGGCGCTGGCGGGCGCGGCGCGGGGAGGGGCGGGGCGGTGGGGAGGGGCGGGGCGGCGCCCAGAGCGCCGGGCGGCAGCAGGTGGCTTCTCTCATCTCCTCTCAGCACCGCGCCGCTCCGCGCTCCCGCCTCGCCTCCTCTCGCCCCGCCGCCTCACCGCGGCCACCGCCGCAGCCAAGACGCCGCGGGCCGTGCTCCGAGTGAAGAATGGGGCGGCGAAGCTGGCCAAGCCGCCGCCGGCGGCCGGCGAGACCCCCGGCGGCGCTCCCGGACCCGGGCTCTTCATGGAGCGGTCGCAGAGCCGCCTCAGCCTGTCCGCCTCCTTCGAGGCCCTGGCCATCTACTTCCCCTGCATGAACAGCTTCGACGAGGAGGACGCGGGTACGGGGGTTGAAGCGGGGCTGGGGGGCCGAGTGGCGGTGGGAGGGGGGGTGTGGGGCGGGGGGGACGCCTATGGCAGCTGTGGGAGAGGGGTGCCGGTGGGGCCGGGGGTAGGACGCGGGGCCGGTCTCCAGCACACGCGTGTCCAGCCCTCGGACGCTGTGGGAGCGGTGGGGCCATGGGGCTGGGCGGGAGCGGGGGGGTTTGTGCAGTGTGTCGGTAGTGCCCTGACCCTGCCGAAGGGCTGCGGTGCGACTGGTACCAGGTTTCCAGTCCATGGGAAGCGTGAGCCTATGGAGATGAGAAGGGGGAATTTGTTCATGATGATGAAATGTGCTCCCTCTTCTCATCGATAGGAAAACCGGGGCGTTTGCAATGGAGTGGCTTACGCTCCTGGTGTCCCTCTTGTGCCAAGCTGTATAAAGCAGTGAAGGGCAACGCTTGGGGGAAGGCATCCCTTCTGCTGGACAGTGTGTCCAATCTGTACTGATTTATACACAGTGAGCTAATCGTTTTGAGGGGTCGTTGGCACCATGTGTCATGCTGTAAACGGGATTCTGTTTAAATGAGGGTGAAGTAGCTCGTGAAACACGTATAGAAGCCTGTCAGAATGGATGCAGCAATTTCTGCCCTCTTCACAAAGACATTTCTGGTCTCAGAGTGTTGGCAGTGGTCATAAAACGAGACTAAGCTTTAAAAAGAGGGACATTGGTAAGGAAAAGTAGGTAAGAAAGAGGGTTGAACAGGAAAGGAAGGGCACTGGTGCTGGAGAAGGTGCTGGGAGGGGAGGGCAGTGCAGCAGCTGTGAGAGTAGGGAGGAAATCCGAGAGAGTGGATGGAGAGTGGCAGAGAAACACTGTCCATTCTGTCTCACTTATAAACGAGGGATGTTTTTCACAGTACACACAGTATCAGAGACTGAACCTGTAAGTGAATCTTCTGAGCAGCATATAATGAAAGTTGGTAACTGAGGCGTATTTTAACATTGACTGTCATGGTTGCATCCCTCAAAATGCCGGCATGCTTCTTTGTCTAAGGGGCTCATCCCAAGATATACAGATGCCAGCAGGAATAGATGGGCAGATCAGCCCGCTAGCTGCTACACCTGTAACGTTGTTGTTTCTAGAGGGATTGACGTAAGAATAAATTCATCATCTGTGTGATTAACCCGGGATTGTCATCAGCATCGTGCAGGGGTGTCAAGCAGAAAATTGTCTCCTCCAACAGATGTATTTATTTAAATCTTGTTCTTGAAATTTTCCTGATGATTTATTTGCTTCATCTTTGGTTCCATTGCTGGGGAGCGATAAGACAATAATGGGAGCTTTGGGAAGTCTCGGCGCTGTTGCTTCAGCAGTGATTGATAGCGAGACATGCTGGAGTACGAGGACCCTGCACAACAGCGTTTTATTCCCTGGTGTCTGGCCCCTCTTGCTCTGAGCAGGATGATGGCTTAAGTGAATGCTTCTGCTTCAGCCCTTACAGTGCAAATTCATTTTTCTATTTATTCATGCTTATTGAATGCTCACACATGAATGTTAATAGGCTGCTCTTAATACAATACAAGTACTTGTCTCTGAATTAAATAAATCTACAATTAAGACCTCATTCTCCAGCAGCTTATTAATGGATTTTGCCTGCTTGAGTTAGTCTCGTTAGTAAAGCTGCTTGGGGTAATGTTCAGTGCAGTGGGGACATTGCAGCACTGCTCCTGCATTCTGTGCCTATGAGTGTGTATTCAGACACGTATGAGCAATCAGCAAGGAAGAACGTGTGCTGCTTTGAATGTTTGTGCATTAAAACTACAACTGTATAATTTTCTCAATAAATGCCATGAAAGAGAAATGGCAGAAGAAATGCTGAAATTGTGCCAGGCAAGATTTTGTATTCACTCCCATGCATGCTCCTGAAATTGAGAGAGATTCTGACCAGTTTGGGTTGCAGTATGATTTCTGTCAAAAAGTAGATTTTGATAGCTCATTCAGGGAGATGAATACTGCACTTGGCAAGATGTTCTCTATAGGAGATGGCAAGAAAAAAGAAAAAAATTGATCCCGTGAGCACTGACAAAGTAAACAATCCTATTTCCAACAGGCACATCATCCATTTTGTCTGGAGCTGAGAACCACATCGTTAAGAGGATAGTCATCCTACAGAAAAGGAGAGTAGTTGGTAAATGGCCAAGCTTAAAAGAAACTTGACATTTTCTTCTGAAAAGGGAAACGAGCCTAATGAGAGCTTAAATCTACAAACAGAAGAAATTCTTGAGGTGTACATGTAAGTTACTACGTTAGGGTCATATTAAGGGAGCATAAAAAGAATTTTGAAGGAGTGCTTATGCTGAAAGCCACGGTGATGTGGAAACAGCTAGTCACATCTGGCCAATGGTAAAGGTACCTCTGGGTTCCAACATTTCCCATGTCTGGTCTTGGAAAATAGCTCTGCTTTTGAGGAAAAATGCGTTTACTTATAGAATATTTCCTTTTCTGCCATGTTCCTTTTGTTCTTCTTTGCTGCCTGCCTTCTGGACATTAGGTGAGAAAACTCTTCTCATCTTCCACAGCTCTTCTGCCTGCTGCCCCACCAGTGTGTCTGGACTGAGTTCTAGATGATGAAGTGGATGCTGAGACAATAATGATATCCTGGTTGTATTTTGGTGTGCAGAGCAGGCAGCCAGTGTAGGCAGGAGAGCAGAACCTGGAGCAAGAAATTGGATTGTTTCTGAGTGCTTCCAGAGCGTGAGGTTGATTGAGTTTCAGATGTGTCCTGTGGCAAATAAAGCCACGTGCCTGACTCTCCAAAGAGGTGGATGTGGACTCCTACATTGTAATACCGTTTTCATTCCCCTGCTGCGTGTACAGAGAGGATGCTCTGAGCAAACACTGAGCTCTGTTCACCAGTAAGGTGCAGTGGGGCTTTAAAATAACAGAAATTACTGTCTGCAGTCAATAGTGTAAGAACTCTGGGTTAATAACTCTTTTGATCTCTGCGTGGTAATGTTGCTCTCCTTTCTGCTGGCCGAGTGCCACTATCTTCGCTCCATTGAGGTCCCCAGTAATGTCAGTGAAGTTAAGGAGTTTTAAGCTGTGGCTATCATCATCATAATTGTTGGTTTAACTTATGCAAATTATCTATCCTGAGCTCTGATAATTTTTCAGTTGTGGAGTACTAGACTGCAAAGAGGTAAAAATCCATCAGGCATTCTTTGTGGACATGTAGAAATGCAAGCCTTAAATCAGTGGCCATTTCTAACAGTGTGAACACAAATCTTAGCTGTCCTGAGGATCTGCAATACACTTGGTCTTGGCTGGAATCAGCTGTTCAGTACACTGGTACTCATCTGACAGCGCTGCAAAGAACCAAACTGCCAAGGACCAAGGAGTTGCCAAGTGGCAAATTTGTATGGGTTAATAATAGGGTGTTGAGGATCTGTGATGGCTGTGGGGACCTGCTTCATAGGTGCCTCTGGAGTCCTGGGTGCAGTTTGCAACTGTGGGGTTGTGGAATGGGGTGTATCAAATCCACCTGTGACAGCAGCCATAGCTCAGACCTGCGCACTCCAGGATGAGGGGCATCCATAAGTTTAAATGGGGATGTGTTTGCTGTCATGGAGGAAAACCAGCTTGTTCAGTGGAGAGAATGAGGTTTGGAAAGCTGGCTAAAGCAGGACAGAAAGTGAGGTTTTGGTAGAGAGCAACAGACACTGACGTGGAGCTGCACATGCAAAACCCAGCAAGCTTTGGGCAGGAGAGAGAAGGTGGTTTAATATCAAGGACAGTCAGTGTAATGGTGGTGGACCTGCTGGGAGTCAGGAAGCCAGAAGCTCAGAAGAGCTCAGAACTTCCAGATGAGGACCCTGTGTAATTCAGAGCACAGGGACTGTACCTAAAGAAACACAGGTAGGGAAATGTGAAAAATTGCTGAGGGGATGGGATTTCCTTAAGCTCCTGTGTCTAAGTTGCGGGATCCAGGGTACTTCTCAGGCCTGGGTGTGTGCTCCAGCTGTACTTTGGCTTAAATGGGTGAGATGCAATAAGACACCAACTGCTTTCTGTTTCACCCTACACCCTGGTTTTCTAAGGAAGGACACCCAATTGCAATGGCAGAAGGCACCTGAGGTATGCCCAGACAGGGGTATAGATTTGAGTGTTTGGGAGACTATAGCCATTGATCGTGTTGCAAAAGCAGATACAGTCCAAATACAACTTGAGCATCTGCACAAGAGAAAACACATGTTTCTTATGGGGCTCTTATACCCATGGAAGTGGGTATAGCAGGGATGCTTTGATCAAGAAGCGGGAGAAGGTACAGAATAGCTGTGAGGTATGTGTATGGGTCCTGTGGGTCAGGACCCCAGCACAGGGACCATCCAGCTTGGCACACCTCTGCCCTGGCTGCAAGACAGTAGAATCAAGTTGTGTCTCAGCCAGCTGGAACCAAGTGTCTGGCAGAGAGAAAATGGTTTCCAAAGTCAAAATGTCTCCTAGATACTGACGGTAAGCCTTCCTCGTGTCAGCTGCTCCTTCAGAAGAGAGTTGAGTTTGAGATAAAATTCAGCCTAAGCTGCTGCTTTCACACACTATCAAGTACTGGCAGATGCACTGTGCTACAGGCAGTTGCTTTGAAGACAAGCTATGTGAAATACTAATTTAATGGGTTGAAAAAGCCATGTATAACACTGGGGTGGAAGAACGTGCTGTGGACATGTTTAGTTTAGAATACTCTTTTGTCTAGATTTTATCTCTTGAATTTATCTATAATTGTAGGCATTGAACTTTTCTATAATTCTAAGCATTAGAGCATTGCAAAGTTGTTAGAGAGAGCCCCTGTGTGTGTTTCATGTTGCCAGGGATGTTTTTCAGTTGCAGCACTGTACTGGATTGGGGTACATATGATTTTTAAAGAAAAATCATGATTCAAGTGTTTTAACTAGTCAATGTGTGTATTTTTTTAATGTATACGTATCAAACATGTTAAGTCATTTGGTGTCTAGTCTGGTT